GCTCGGGCAGATCAGGGTGCAGTACCCTTCCTAGTTCTTGCAGATTAAGACCCCATGTGTCAGGCAGCAAAAGGAATGTGTGTCCTGCTTCTGTCTCCTGTTTTGGTGAAATGGCATTGGGCAAACTCCCTTACAGCTCAAGGTCTAGGACAGGGCGCTCACGGTGCCAAGTTCTACCCTTTACCTCGCTCTAACACACAAAAGCAGCAAGCACCAGCATGCCTGCGCAGGGAGCGCAAGGCAAGGGATGAATGGCAGAACAGGGAGTGGTCCATACCCAGCCACACCGAGTGCTGCTGGTCTCATCCCCTCCGTCTTGGGTAGCGAAGGTGGAAACAGGCCTGCGGATGTTTCCACGCTGGGACAGGTCTCAAACCACCCTGTGTCCCTGCTTGTATGCAGTAATGATGTGTCCTGTGCACCCAAAAGGCCTTGAGATGCGAACAAGTTAAAATGCAAGCCAGTTAAAATGACTTGGCCCAGGGACTATGAAGTGTCAGCCACTCTCAGATGTGACCATGGCAGACAGGACATGTGTTGCCACAGGAACTCAGTGGCAGGACTTCAGAAGCCAAGCTGCCAGCCTTGTGCTTCAATTACTCAACAGTGCTCCCTCTTGCAAGTGCCTAAAAAAAGAAAACACAGGAAAATGTAGAGATCTCAGCAGAACATGATAAGGTTCTGGAACAAGTCGTTCTCCCTTACTGTTGCCTCTTTGCTGAAATGCCTGAGGGCTCTCTCACCTTGCTGTATCTGCTGCCATTTCTTTCCAGGCTTGTCGGGGACAAGTCCTAGTGATGCAGTTTCCCATTATTCACCTTCCCTCCTTCTGAGTGCTAGTCTGGTTTGCAGGGGTCCAAGCAAAAAGATACAAACAAGAGCAGCGTTCACAACAAATACACCTGCCTCCAACACAGCAGACACAACATTTAGTTCTATTTTGGCTCTGGTAGAAAAACATTCACTTGGTGGAGTCCATTGAAATCCTTGTTATATTTGCAGTTGACTTCACCTGTGTGCCAAAAATGAGTTTGCACACCCCCAGTTTCCTCTCTCTCTCATCTCCCTTGATGAGAGACCTTGACCTGCCCGTCAAGAAGTTGTGGCTTTCAGTTTGCATGTTTCTTGCTAACGCTGTTTACCCAGGTAGCACAGATGGTGCGTATCATTTGGCAAGCTTACCCCTAAGCTTTTTACAACAAAGATGAAAACAGGTGCAAGATAAGGGATAGGTACAAACCCAAGAGTTCATTACAAATACATTTGCATCCAAAGCAGCAGCAGAAGGACTTGGCTCTACTTTATCTTAAAAGCATGCACTTTGTGAATTCCATTCAAATACTCACTGTATTTACATCTGATATTGTATGCATGTCACCCCAGGCAACAACATGGAACCTAACTGTGTTTGCGTGGGCCTGCGCTTCTGTGCAAAGGGCAGCCAAATAAGTCATCTCTTCTCGTGACAGCGTGGAGGTTTTAGGGTGGCTCTTGAAAAACTAGAGCGAAAATTCTGAAGAGAGTGCGTTGTCCCCACAGAGAGCAGGATTTTCAAAGGAACTTGTTAGATTAATAGGGAAGGCTTTTTAATTCTGAAGGTCTTATTTTGATGTCAAAGTGGAAGCTGGGCAGTTAGGATGCACTAAGCCCTTGAAAATTTCGCCCCAAGTTCTGCTTCTGCCTGTTTGTGTGTTCAGAGAATGTGGCACAGCTGTGGAGAGGTTCCTGGTCAGAGCAGGTCAGTAACCTACAACCTAGTAACCTTAGTAGAGAGACTAAGGGTAATTAGCATGATCTGAATGCTGAAGCTATGCCCTTATTCTGAACTCCTCTCTGTAGAAGTCCTGTTTTACTCCATTGGCTAAAAAGAGATAAGAGACTATCCTAACAAAAGACAGGTATCAAAAGACACCATGCAACAGAAGTTGCATGACCTGAATACCCACTGTTTCACTCACAAGTCTGCAGTCTGAATCAGGAGTAATTGAAAGGAGGCAATATCTGGCCTTGACTTGATAGTGTATGTAAAGTGCGTTGACAGATCCATCCATTTCACGGAGCAGAACCGAATCTCAGGTAAAACCGCAGGAGGCTTGAGAATATCAGATGAGCAGCAATTCCTATTGAGTGCAGAGGAGTACACCCACAGCTGGCAAAGGTGTCGGTGGATAAGGAAAAAGAGCTGTTTCCCTTCACTCTGAAGGACAGTCACTCCAGCTCAGTCCTGCAGCACACAGCCAAGGAAGCAGGCAGTGGTCCTCATCCTCCGTAAACCACGGAGATCTTGGTTTCCCACTGCTGTTAGCATAGCACCTTTTACAACCTTTATTTGTGCTTGAAACTGGGGAGTGAAAGAGCACAGTGGTAACAAGAAGTAAATGAATGTTTACCAGTACATTTATCTACAGACAAAACTACAAAAAAATAAAGAAATACAGCAGCAACAAAGATGAAACCCCTTCACTGCAACATCCTTTTGGAACTTTCCATCTACTTTGTAATTAAAGACTTAGATGTTTAAACCACAGAAAAAGGGTAAACTGTGTTTTAAAGTGGCCCAGTGCTTGTTACCACGTGCATTAATGTATTATTCTGTGGCCAGGAGTGGAACGACTGCAGTCAGACATGTTTTCTTAGGGTACTCCTTTAAACAAAGATTTTTGGTTGAATATTTTTAGTAGTTCAGGTAAAAATAACTGCATACGCCTGTTCGCTGTGGCATGGAACCGGACAGGAAACACTATTGTTGCTACGCACAGATTTTTCCTTAACTCTGGTACTGGAATAAATCCAGGATTATTCAGAAGAGGAAAATGAGAGAGAGGGAGAATATATCCTTGCCCATGTGAGCATAGAGAACAGACGTGTCAGATCACTGTTCATATTTCTGCTCTCATCGCTACAGACAAGGGACCCTGGTGCCAGTCTCCCACATCCCAGTGAACACCTCAGCCTCCGGCCATTGGATATTCTGAGGCAGGTCTCCCTCTCTTCCGCCATTCTCCTCTGTATGAAGACTTTTTTGGTAGAAGCACTTGAATATACGTAGACCTCCTAAACTGAATCCTCTGTTTGGCTATCATGGGACAGCTGAGGGTCTCTTTTTCTCATTTATATGTTGACAAATAATATCTGGATGTTCTTTTAACAAGGATTGGCTATAACGGATTGGTATTTCCTGACACAAAACTTGTTTTTTTCCAGAAATTCCAGGTTAGAGCAATAACTGAATTATCTCTACCTAAACCAGCCATTGCTGTCACTAGCATTGCTGCCCAAGGATTTCAGAGTTTTATCTGAGGAATCAGCAGGACAAAATACTTCAGTAAGAAGTATGCACCAGAGAAACAGGCAATCATCTTCAGCTTCTAAGAGCAATATTGCAGAAAGGTGACGAAATGTGCTCTTTAACACAATGAGTTCATTAACAAAAGTTTGTAGAGACCCCTTACAAAGCTTAAATTTTCATATACAGTGTTAAAAACTCATTAAAACATTAAGCCAAATCATTACTCCCACTGCACGGGCAACACAAAAGGATAATTTACTAGAATCAATACAGACCTGAAGAAGCTTTTCAGTAACTATACATGACATGTGAAATATTTGTTTAAAGAAAAAAAAAAGTAATTTAATGAGAACAGTAAAGGTACAGAACAATAAGAAACAAATGTCAGCACACTGAGAAAGAGGTCGGGATTATTGGTTTTTTATACAACACCTGGTTTAGTCTTTTCTTACTAAGGGTTTAAATCAGTTTAGCACCAATTTGGTTCATTCAGAGATTAACAAAAGTTAATATTTTATAAGATTTATTTATAATACCCTTGAGGTTTAGAGTATGTTTATGTAACCCTTCTGCCAGGAATTGGCAGCAGCTGAAAGAGCTGGATTCATTTATCTAGGGGTTCTCTCTGAAAACTTAAACAACAGCAGTTTCAGCCTCCATCCAAAGCTAAATGACCTCTTTTGGGTGCCCTGATGAACAATAAACCCTGCTCAAGGTAGAGCAAGGGTTTAAAACAAGGTCCAGAGTTTCAAGACAGAGAGAACTTTAGAGACGAAGGAAACGGAAGAAGAAGGGCTCAGAGTAAACCCACAAGAACCACTAATCAATAAAATAAATAATGCTTAAGTGAGATCCCTAACCTCCCTCTCCTCCTCCTCTCTGTGACACAAAATAAAGTCTTGCTCTCATTTCCAAACAGATGCCTTGTCACTTGAATGTCGCTGCCCACTCAAAGCTTTCCCTGTATTTACTGCGTGGCTTCACTTCACTTTACAGCTCAGCTAATGAACGCATGCATTACTGTCCGTAAACCCAGAGATCCTACCCCCTCTCTGGCCCACAGCCCTTTGCTTGTGCCAACGCTCCGCACCGGTGCTGATGCTCGGCTGACCATGCAGTGAACTGATTCAAGGCACCAAACTGGCAGAAAATGAACTCAGGAAAACTAAAAGCAAGCAGTGGATGGGTGTCTGCTGGTTTAACTCCCTGAATCAACCCACTGTACTATAAAATGAAGGTCAAAGCTGGCACCAGGGAAGAGGATGGCAAGGGTGGGGATGGAAAGAAAAGCCAGACGGCTGTTGCTTCTAGTAATAACCAGGTTGGGCTAGTTACTAATAGGTTGGGCTGGCATAGTTTTAAGATGAAACTGCTCTTAAGCACGGTGGCACTTCTGTATGAATTTGCTGGCTTATCCCCATATAGGCCAAACTTTGCGGGAGCACGGCTACTCTGTCCATGACTACAGGACTACCGGACCGTTCTGTCTCTAAATAAACTCCAGCCAGCCCGTACGGTATGGAGTCCCTCTTCCAGCCCAGAGGAGGAAACAGGGCCTCTGTTGCAAAAAATTAAACAAAACATTTTACCGAGGACGGAGGGCTGGGGTCAGCTTTGCTGCCCAGGCAGAACTGCCCTGCTCCGCTCCCTCAGGCAGCAAACGGGCCCACAGGCATTTTCCCAGTCCTACAGCCGCTCCTGGAAGTCTCCTATGCCGCACTGCTCAGAGCTAGAAGGTTTTTACAATTCAGCTTCCTCATTTTTGGGGGGCTACCGGTTTAAAAACCCAACCGCCTGGTTTCCCAGGGAGCGGAGGAATTCACCTCAAACCGCCGCCAGCTGGGAGCCGGGGGAAACTGAGGCAAAGGCGGCGGCGCGACGGACGCCATTTGCAGGCCAAGAAAAGGCCGCACGACTGCCACAATACCCCTGGGCCGAAACCGCGCATTCTCGGCTGCCATCTACCGGTACTTTCTCCGCTGGACGTTTACCGCGGCCCGGCCCCGCGGGGCCGGGGGAGTGACGGGAGGGGC